GACAACAAGCCACAACCACACAACACAATGACGAGAAGAGTCTTCACGACAACACACAACACAATGCATGCATGATGTATGGATGTATGGATGTATGTATTTATGCATGCATGCATTCATGCATGCATGCATGCATGCATGCATGCATGCATGCATGCTGCATGTACGTTCATGTACGTACGTACGTACGTACGTACGTACGTACGTACGTACGTACGTACGTACGTATGTATGCATGTGTGTGTGTGCGCAAATAAAACTCTTGCCTTGCAAAGATTGGAAAGGACTCTGAAAACGGCCCCTTGCGAGGACTTTGACCAGCCGGGTTACATCGACACCTGCCTCGTCCTTGAAGATTTCCTCCACCCGCTTCTCCTCCTGGGGGGCCGGAGGAAGCGACCAAACCCAGCTGATGTCTGTCCAATGGTTATGGTGTCAAAATTAAACCAGGATATGGCTGTGGGTCAAAACCAATGGATATGTCACGTAGTGATAGATTCCCTTTAAAAACCAACAGGGGAAAACAACAAAAAAGTCGTAAGCAAATGGAAGAAACTAGGATCCCAGCGTCCTAGCTTGCCTAGCTTCCTGGCTTCCGCCTTGCCAAGGCAATCAAAGGTCTAGGTTGCAGACCAGCATGTAATGTTGACCCAGGATTAAATTAACCCCTCCCATTACTTGGGGGGGGTTCCCCCCAAAAGTGGTCTGAATCCCCACTAAAAGGGGACACCCCCTATTAATCAACCAGGTTTGTTTTCATCCGGGGTTAACATGAAACCAGGATATGGACCGCAGGCTGTATCCTGGTTTCAAATACCAAGGTTCCAGCTTGGGGTTACCCTATTTTTTGACCCACACCCAAACGACTTGCGCCCCGCTTTTTCTTTGGGGGGGGGGCCCTGGTTGTTTGGAGCTACGCAACGGCCAGGGATTCCCGGGAGCGCGTTTAGACGCGAGGCTTGCTTGGTGTGAGTCCCTGTTGAACCCAAAAACCGACTTGGCACCTGACCAACAATCGCTCTTGGCGATTCAAATCGCTCAAACTCGCCTGACACCGTTAGTCACATCAAGAATCACCATTGGCTTTTGCAGCAGACTAGCCAAGCGCTTGGATGTTGCTTCGCGGCAGTTGGGGGTGGGCTGGGGCGTTGCTGCTTGTGTGCACGTGTTCGGGGCAAAGTGGTATCCTACAGGTCTACTTATATATATATATATACATAGAAAATGACTTCCCCCACTGCCGGCAGATTTGTTGAGGGGGCTAGAACAGCCTAAATCTTAAGCGGCCCTGTCGGTGAAGGCTGAAGCCGGCTGCAGTCAATTGTGAAGACCAAAATGACAAGCAGAGTCCCTGATAATTTTCCTCATGATCGCATCCACATATCACAAGACGGGTTGGAAGGGAATCCTGCCATACAACGGACTCCAGCAATACCACAAATCAGGATGTTCAATGGTTGCCCAATGCCAGCAATGCCACAAAGCAGGATGAATGGCAGCCCAATGCCCTTGAAGCCTAGACCAGTGATCCAATCCCGCGACTTGAACCGGTCCAGTGCTCGGACAACCTTGACATAGTGCTGGGGGGGTTGAACAAAACATATGCTAGGCATCGAGGCACCCGTAGCCAAATGCCTCATGCATGGAGTGGTGGCATCGTTTCAAACACCTAACGAGCGCAAGAGAAAGGTCCGTTGAGCAGTCGATCAAACATCAGTTCCATCATATCCGAGTCAGCGCTCAAGGGTCAACGCACTCACCCGGTTTCTGTGCAATCGCGCCCCAAATTTGACCACACTGTGATTGCATGGGAGTTCGTAAATTCTGGTTTCTGACGCGGGGCCCGCGCACACGAATGGACAAACATTCAGAGGAACCATCTTCGTGGATAAATTGGAGTCCACTGCATCCCCTCGATGTTTTTCTAGGTTCTCCAGTAGAGAGGTTAGAATAAGGGCGCCTTTTGTTGTGTAGTCTATTTTAGTAGGGGAACCCTCCCCCAAAAAAGGGGTGAGAAAGGGCACTACTGGGGGACCTAGTTTTGTCTTACAAAGTCTCCCATGCACCCGCCAAGTTGCCAACAAGGACAAATCCGGATCCCTCTTGCCCAAACGTCAATGCAATAAATTCAGGTGTGCTTGCAAAAAGCGGGGCATGGAGGGGTATGGGTGGGCCCTTTTAGTCCCGCCAAATTGCCAACGGCACATCGGGATTCCTCTTGCCCAAACCTCAGCGTCGCTTAGCTCCTCCGCGCTGGAGATGATGAGGACGCGCCCGGGGAATTGGAGCACCGGCAGCCGCGCCTTTGAGCGAGCGCTCGCTCGAGGCGATCGATCGATGCTTCGGAGGAAACCCCCGGGGCCTCGTTTTCGTCGGTTTGGGGCTGCTGTGATTGGCAAAACCCATGGAATCCCATTTTGGGGCGGGTGAATTCACCCAGTTGAGTGGGGATTTTAGTGGTTGGCTTGCTGGGGAAAGGGATTTTGACCCATGATGACCCATGGCCAGATGACACTCTTGAGCGGCGAAGACCATTGGCCTTCATAGCGCCTCGACTCCTGGATGGCTATTTGTTTTGGACAGCGCTCGAGCAAACACATGCAACTCCGATGCCCTGGCTCCCTGGCTCGCCCCCCAATTGCCAGTCCAGACAGAACTCCCAAAATGTGCGCCAGCAAAGATAGACGCTGGATGTGCGTTGCGCAGCAACTGGGCCGGTCCAGAATCTCGCCGTAACCTGCCACTTCCTGTCAACAATTCGGCGCCAGGCCCCGCGCGATCTCCAGCGGCGAGACGTGCAGCTTCGGCGGCGGCGGCAACGGCGCGGCAGCCTTTGGGGACCGAACCGATCGACCCCCGCAAAACGAAATTTCGGGTTGGCAGCACCAAAATGGGATGCCTCAAGCGTGCGTTGATCTAGAAGCGGATGGCCGCAATGGAGAGTGGAGTGGAGTTGTCGGTTGTTGAAGAACAAGATTGGGGTATCTTCAACACATGAGATGAGTGGTGTTTTATCTGCAAAGACCATGTCTAAAGCATCTTAAATGTCGCAAGGGCTTGCACGGCCTTCCATTTATGGAGGACAGGCACTACATGGCACGGGCAGTTCACACGCTCCCCACTACATGGTCCGAAACTCCAAAACAGGTTCTTGCATTGCATTCATTCGCAAACCTCAGCTCGGATTCCCGGATTTCGGAGTCACCTTCTTGGTAAGTCGCGCCACAGGTCGCCATGCTTTGCCAATAGGCCTCCTGGTGAATTTGACCTCACCCTCTCAAGGGTAGCCACACGGCTCTCGGTCCAACATTCTCGAACCCCGAACCAGCCGATGAGTGGATACATGCACCAGCTACCGATTTTCTCAATTTCTACAAAGTACTGTAAAGCTGCGGTAAGGTCTTCCTTGATCCCTGGAGGAATCGGACCCCCCTCGAAAACATGTGGCTTTCCTTTTTGCTTCCCTTTCAGCCTTCTGCCCCCAAAAAGGTTCCCTCAAACAAGACGAGCCACCCACAAAAAATCCATCCGGGGCTTGCGAGCGGCTGTTGTCCGTGTGCTTCAAGTCTTAAGGCCAACAAGAAGAATGGCAAACCGTCACAGTAACAAAACACGCAAAGACCCTGTTTGAAATGTAGATTCCAAAAATTGGCGCCAATCACTTTTGGCAGCCCCCTTGAATAGTTCCCGCGGAGCCTGTCACAAGCAACGCTTCATCCGGCGCCGGGATCCCCGGCCGTGTCGGTGAAGCTACGGCTTTTCCCAAACTTGGGCCGCCAAGCTGCCACGCGCGCCTTGGGTCGCCAGGTACGGCAAGCAGTTTCCGGCAGGAAGCCGCACGCATCGACTTCACCGGCTGTGCAAACTAGGCCCTGCACAAGGCCCGCCCGACAGCGCACCGGGCGAGCGTGGATCATCTGATCAATTCCATTTGGCAGACTGAGGCCGTGATGCACACCCCCACACCACACACACACACACAAATACAGGTTGGCCTGCTCAGGAGTTGGGTGACACAAACACACACACACACACACACACCCTCAAACACACGACTCTCCTATGCCATGATGGCAACCATCCGCAAAGACCTTTGTCGCTGTTAGACCCTCCGGTCCTTCGATCTGCTGGAAACCGCCCTTTTTGCTTAAAAAGACACCAGGCCTCCCAAAAAAACCGCTTACCATGCGTTTGCGACCCCCCAAACTTGGGACTGGATTTGGGACTGCGTTTGGTCATGGACTCTCGCTGGTGCGCAACTTGAGCCGCTAGCCGGGAGGAGGCACTTCCAGTTGACAGAACGCAAGACATGGGTGCATCGTCGCTGCATCGTTGTTTAAAAGCCCACACCGATTATCAATCTTGTCACAGGTTGATATTAAAAGAACCTGCCTGGATCGGGAAAACCCTGAGGGCTCTGCTAGTGTGGCATGTGCCCCCTGTGAACCGCATTGGGGGAATGCTTCGAATAGAGCCTATTCTTTGTTCATAACCATCAATCCGTACCCAGTCAAGCCTTTTGAGGGGCACCCTGGGCTTGCAGCTTCTACTTATTGATTGTCCGAAACCCACAGCCTAATGACAATGATTCACCGGCATAGGTGGTTTTTTGGAAACATAGATGGCCCTGATAAATGGAATAAACCCCATCTAAACCAGGGCCCTCTATTTTTTAAGCAAACCAACCAAAAAGGACACCTATACTCACCGGATTACAGCAGAATTGCATGGGTGAGGATAGACCCTGAAGGTCGCCATGATTGACCCAGAAGACATGCAATACTAAGTTCGACCCGTTCCCACCGACATGACTTAAGTTTGTGAGGCGCATTGACTCCCGGTAAGCAGTCATTCAGTGAGTGAGAAGTGGCTCTGACCCCCCGGCATCAGAACAAGAGAGCATAGCTGGCCTTGCTGCAAGAGAACTCTTCGGGGTCATCTCTCGCCTTTGGCCATCCGAGTCCTTCCGTCCGACATCTCCGAGACCGCTTTGCTTTTTTCTCTTCTGCTCCGGTCGGTTTGCTCCTAGAATCGTCGTCGATTTCTTGCTTTCGCCGGGGGCTGCGAAAATTGACGGCGGCCTTGAAATCAGCGCCTCCTGCGTCTTGGTCGCGCCTGCCGGAACGAAAAACAAACGCAGCGCGCCCACCCGGGAAATCACAGACAACTGCGAGTGCGTCGTTTGTACCGCTCCCTTGGACCACATCAATAAGCCGCATCGTGCCGAGCCCTCGCAACTCCAGAACCTAGTTCTTGCTGCCATGTTACCAGCAGCTCAACCCTTGTTTTCGACCCACAGCAATTTGAGCCCATGCTCTGAATCACTCGGTCGCATGCAACCCACAGCCATGACCACGAGAACACCAAGCGCGCTCGCTCCCACGCCCTGGGCCCGCATCCGATTCAGCGCCTTCGGCGCCAGCCGCTTCATCGGCCGTGCGGCCTGCGGGGAACGGCGTGGCCATGCAAGCGGCGGCCACGTTTTGGATGCGGAGACGGTCGGTGCGGCTTGGGACCCCTCGGCAAAAGCTGCGCTTTTCTTTTGTGGTGTCAATGCAAAGACCCATAGATTGCCCCAAAAAGACAATTAAAGGTCCAAGCCAAGGGCAATCTGCAGCTTTCTGTGTGCTGATTCAAGAGGCCAAGAAGGTCTAGGACCTTCAAGTTGTCAACATGTTAGAGGAACACAAGCACCTGCCACAAAGGGTAGCCCCCCAACATCTATATTGTGTTTGGGAAGAAACTATGTCTATTAGGAGGATTCCACGCTTTCGCGAGGATTCACCATGTTGATCCTGCTCGTTATTGAGCACAAAAGTGCAGAAAAAGGTCGAAAATACAAGGATTGGTTTTGAACAAATAGAATTGGATTTTTGAACAAATAATGCAAAGACGCGACCTGTCTCGCAACTGGAGTTCCGTGTAGAGTAAAACTGTGAGTTTATAAAACTTAAAATGCGCAAGGAGGAAACCAGGAATTTTTCACCCTTGCAGGAATGGTTCTTGGCACCTTGTTAGAAGGGTTCTTAGAGAGGTTCTGAGAACCTTTTTAGGGAGCAAAACTAGCTCTGCAAGCATGTTTGCATGTTCTCGCATCGGGACACAAGGGAGCTGCAAAACCACTGACAGAGAAAAAAAGGCTCCTTGACACCTGAAGGTAGGGGGGTTACAATGAACGCTAGAAAAGGGGGAATTTTGTACGGTGATGCGAGCGGGCACATCCTCTGTATCGCTCCCTGTTGTGGCATCACAATGGAAAGCCAAATGTTTCTTGCAAAGTCCAGCATGCCAGGGTCTCTGACCAAAAAAACAAATGCTGGAGCATTGTTCCTGACATCCGCCAGAATTCATTCGGAACTTCTCCCAAACCTCCCGAGAAAAACCTGCCTATTGCCTGCCAATTGCCACCCGCAGGGCACTCACATCGGAAGCCGCAAGAGATTGGATGAGGCCCAACTGTTGCTATTGGAGAAAAAGACTGATCCTTCGGAAACACCCCCTTGCGTTCAACCAACTCAGGAAACACCCCTTGCGTTCAACCAACCCAAAGCAAAATGATACAAACTAATGGCTAGGATGCTTTGGGAGTTCCACATCTTGTTTTCCTGCTGAATTCTTTGATGCTTGTAAGATCAAGCACACAAAGCCCTTCTAATCGACCACACATTGACTTTCAATACCGGCACAAACAAAGCTTCGTGCCTGAGCATCTGCCAACTCCTTCTCCTCCTCCTCCTCCTCAGATTGTTCTAGACTCCACTGATCCCTGAAAGACCTGAAGCACGTAGACCTGCACCTTTCCGAGATCTGATGCTGGAACTGCGACCTTCGGATCATCAACCTGACTCCTTGGTCTATCAAGTCTGTAGCCAACGTTGGGTCCTGCCATGGCCTTTGTCAAGCACAAAATGGCCGTGGGTCAAAACCCAAATCGGTTAGCCCCCAGTGAACACCCGAATCCAACCACTAAAATAGATTAAAATGGGTGCTGCACCTATCCCAAAATGGTACCATTGGTTTTCAACCATGGCCAAATGTCAAAAAGCAAACCCCCCCAGAAGTTTTTTTGTCGGGTTGGTGTTGCCTCGCGACCAGCTCGTGGTACTGTGGATGGACGAAATCCTGCAGCACATAAGAACCCAATGATGATTCCCCTGTACATACCAACAAACCATGGCTTCCCCATGGTTTCAAAGTGGTGCAGAAATTCGTCCATCCACAGTAGGACCTTCCCCGCGCGCTCGCGTGCCGTGAGCTTCTTTCAGAGGAAAAAAAGCTGCGCTCCATGCACGCCACACCGGCGACTGCCCTTTCTCCAAGACTTGAGCAGGTTCCGAAGGATGACTCCAGCAAAACGTCCCAAAGGCAAGTGGATTCACAGAAAGGGGATGCGAGCTGCGTCTTCCCTCCGTCCCTTTGCGCGCCTCATCGTCATCTGCCTCAGGGCTCAGCACTTGAGTGCCCAGCCACAGAGTTCAAGAAACCCTCCCCTGCAACTTGAGACGCAGAAACACACGCACACCCCGGCTTCAGCGGAGGCGTTAGGTATTGGCTGCTTGTGGGCAGGCCCATCAAAATAACATGCTCAAGTTGTTGCTCCCTGAACAATGCCAAATGTTGGCCTTCAACTGCAGGAACAAGTCAAAAGCAATTTCCACCTCTCTGTTGGTCGGGTGAAACAGCAATGCCCCGGATTGCTAAATATTTTGAAACGAGGCCTTTGACCGAAATGCAAAGAGTGCAGCAAGGTACATGAACAGAACAAAAATGTACTGCTGGTGACTGAAACCAAAACTCTATCTACACCTGATTACAAGCAAAACAGCAAAACGGCGAGTAGATCCAGCAAGAGTTCTCGATCAGAAGTAGTGAATGACCACCATAGGGCCCAAATGTTGCATCCCTTGCATCATTGATGAGAAAAGGCCAGGCAGCCCCGCTTTGACCCACAACTCTTCAACGTGGAGTGGCCAATCCCAGGATAGTTGAATCGAGGGAAAACGCTACAAAGCGAAACTTGTTTGTAAAAGGATCGAAGATGGGTTTCTCCTTAGGGGAACCTGCCAACATGGCTTCGGTTGTCCTTTGGGCTTCCCTTCAAATCCACCCATGAAATGAGAGCCTGGGAGCCCACACCACGCTGCCGAAGCCTCTACCTGGTCCTGTGGGCTCCTCTTCCTTGTTGGCTGCTTCCTGACATTTGGCGGTGGGTCAAAAAGAGGGGTAGCCCAAATTGGGGGCAAGCCCCGATTCTTCTTTTGGAAACATGGGCCAAATCCTGCAGTCCCCTAATTTATGTTGACCCATTCCCATTTAGCTATGTTCCAAGTGTTTTTCTGTCCAACCAGCCGTGTTGCAGTGATGGATGCTTCTCGGCACAGAGCATGCAGCCCACTGTCATCAGCTAGGAAGACGTGCAATAGACTTGATGGTGGCCGATTCCTGGTTCATAGTCCCCTTGGGGAGTCCAGCTTTGTTTGTTTGACCTAGATCTCTTTTAGGTTGGTTTGGTTGAACATCAATGGCGCTGGTTTAGATGAGTTCGGTTCCGTCTACCAGGGCCATGTTTTTCCCCCCCCCCCCCCCCAAAAGGCCACCTATGCCAACTAGAACCAAGCTATGTTGGTTTGAAGGGGCATGGCTCGCATCTTCGTAGAGCCGTGGCTCCTTCCCGTCCCCAGCCAGCGGCTGGCGCCTCCTCTTCTTGCTTTTTCCTCTCCTCCTCTTCCTTGTAGCTGCCATCCAAGAACTTCTTGTATTCCGGGAACTCCTGGCAGGGCCAAAGGCCAAACCTCTGACCCGAAAAAGGGCAAGTCACAAACCGAACGCCTCGGAAAAAAAGTTGAGCATGCTGAAAGGATAAGGCGGTGTTACCCTGTTTTTGGCGGTGTTACCCTGTTTTTGGCGTGGTTACCTCACCACCTTATGCTGAAAGAGTGCTATTGTTCCCCTCAAATCCGGGAAGTGCGAGGTCGTGATGCTGCATCCGCTGGCCGAAAGCCGTCTTTCGGCAACATCTGGCTGTGGGTCAAAAATAGGTACCCAAAATGGAACCCTAGGAAATGGAAACATGGACTAACACCTGCAGTCCCCTAGTGGTTTCATTTTGAGCCACCGCCATCTAATAGCAGCGTGCAAGCTTCCAGCGAGGCCCCACGACTTCCGCATACCGAATCGTAGGCGTTCCGTGGCGTCCACGAGAAAGCTGCTCCCACAAGGGTACCCCCAAAAAAAGACACACCCATGTCGCTATGGGGCAGAACCCATGGCTCCATTTTGGGGTGGATGAACATGCATTTGCCATCTATGTTGATGTTCACCAGGGGTGCAGGGTTTTGACCCACAGCCATGTGGGTATGGGTCAAAATTAAACCACCAGGAATTGGACCGCAGGTGTTGGTCCATGTCTACACTTACTAGGGTTCCATTTGGGGAGTTTTTTTGACCCACAGCCATGTGTTGCCTGCTGGCATCCTGTCTAGTGGACTCCATGGCTGTGTCTTGTTCCCCGCCTCACCCAGCTGGCTGCGAATGACATAGGTCTGCCCTTGCGTCACCAGGTTGTTGGTCAACCTTCGATCAAGATTCCGCACCCCTTGGCTTTTTCCAATCCATCCCTACCACAAGTGGTCCAGGGGGGGGCGGCAACCTGGACGAATCGATCTAACCAGAGTGAGGCCTTTCAATCCTGAATATGTATATATATATAATATATATATATATATACATATATATATATAGACATATACATATACATATATAATATATACATATATATATATTACATATATATATATGTATACATGTATATATATATATATATATTGATTCCATGAACCCAATAGCCTAATTGACTACCAACTCTTGCAGTTGCTTCACAAAACCTCCGCGCCCATGGGCCGAGCCCCCAGGCCCCCGGGCCAGTAGATGCCAAGACCCGCAGGGCTGACGAGGCCCGTGTAGCCGATCACCAGCCTCGGCTGGCTTCGGTTGGAGCCTGGGTGAAAGCCAAGGGAAGCTTCAGCCACATGGGCGCGGCGATAGAATAGGAGCTGGCCCCAAGATGGGGTTGCTCTGGAACATGGGAAAGTGGCCCCCTGGCTGAAAAAGGAATTGAGCAAGAGCCACACGCTCATCCGCCCGCCTTGCGAGTGCCATTTAGAGTCTTTTCGCGCCAGATCCCATGCATGGTTGGGTTCAAACTCTACAAGAAGCGAAGGGTTTTAACATTCCACTAACACCTTTGGGAGGGTACCTGGAAGGTCAGTTTCCTCTTGTAACCCCAAGTCGGGTGCGATGGTGGGAGGGCCAATTTCAACTTCCCATCGTTCTATTTAAGAGCATCACCTGGCCACCCAGCGTTTAGTCTCAAAGGTCTCAGCCATTGTTGCCCAGGGTTCAAAGTGTTCCGCTTTGCACACGAGCATGCCAAGGCGCGACCAAAAGGGGAACTGGAGGAGATGGGCAGCTATCCCAGAGAAGAAAAAAAAGGGGAAAAAGAAAACGAGCTCGACAAGTCACCGGAAAGTCTCAAACCGCGCGAATCCGCAACTCGGATTTTGCGACTTCGGCCACCCGTCCGACTCGTCAAAGGTGTCCCGGCGGGATGAAGTTGGAGATGAAGCCCGCGGGCCCGCCCCTCAGCGGCCACCAGTTGTCGGGAAGGCTTCCCCTTGCTGGGTGGCCTGCCCCCTGTTTGCTGCTTTTGAAGGGAAACCAAAAGGGAAATGTTGGGTGGTCCAACCAACAAAAATACAGTTATCATCTTGTCTTATGTTTCCTTTCTGTATTGTCCTCTTATGTTACATTTGTGTTTTATTATAGAAAGTAACCTGTCAATGGATGATGAAGTGATGGAACAAGATATGAAAATAATAATAATGATACTAATAATAATAATAATAATAAAGGCAATGATTGAAGAATACAATGTCTAATCTTTGCAAGCAACTTCGCGAATGCTCTTCATCTTGGGTTTCAAGGATTATTTTCAACATTAAAAGAGAGAAGAATAAAAGATGAAGAGGTAAAAGGAATGATAAAGAAGAATGTGACAAACAGCAAGAATAATCAATTAGCGTTCTATAGCTCCCATCCGGTACCTTCCACGTCAGAGGCAAAGGGGTGGGAAAAGCCCCAAGAGTTGCATCAACATGGGAACAACAAACCTGGGCTGCTTGCCTCCAGATTTTGTTGGAAACCATTGAAAGCAAGAGTACAAGTGCAGGCGAGGGTCTCTAATTGGGAGACTTAGCACTTTTGAACAAAAATGCCTCCACTGAATCGGCAGAACAAATTGCCTGTCATGATTGGGACTACCAGGCTTCACACCACGGAATGTTGAGAGGGCTCACACGGGTCTGTCTTTCTTTGAGGGAACCGGTTTTTCCAACTTTAAGGAAAAACAAAAGGAGAACCACCATTTTGGGGGTTCCCAGAAAACAAGACAACCCCACATGCCAGGATCCTCGAATCTGCAACGGGAAGCTGACCGCGGCAGGCTAGGCAGCCTACAGTCTCTGGTTGGCTTCAAAACTAGCTTCCAATTCCATCCACGCTTTTGGCGCACGCTCCTCACAAAAACAGCAAACCACCAGCGGTTCAATTCGTCCAGCCGCCGAAAAGCGCAAAACCGGGCACCCCGGCTGGTTGCCCACATCCGGCTGACTCACCTTCTGGGTGATGACCTGACCTGCCGAGAAGTTCGTGGCAGGTTTCTCCAGGGAAGCTATGGAGACCGAAGTGGAAACAACCATGTTTCAAATGGGCAAAATGTATCTTTTAAGGAGCCCTGTTCATGGGGCCGTTTTAGCTTGAAGTCGAGCGATATGATATTTTCAGTCTGAGGGCCAACCACGTCAGTGTCATTGGAACTTCGTAGCCCTCAGTCTTTGTTGTTCTATGTATCCTTCCCCACAAATTCTCTCGTAACCACCTGCACCCAAAGACATTTCCAAGCGGAAGCGAAGGCGCATGACCGGGTGCCGGACTGAAGATCAGCAGGATGGGCAGGATCACATACCGTCCAGCTTGGTCCCTCGGGTGATGTCTCGTTGAGCGCCATTCTAGTTGGGGGCCCGGTTCCCAACTTTTGGTTGACACCGCAAGAGTCCCAAACTTGTGCTGATGACTTGTCCAACAACTTGATTTACCGTCTGAAAGAAGGAAGACGTTGATGCCGGGAAATGCTTGGAGTCGCAGATATCTTACGTGGCTCTTGCCAGACTCAAGAGGGAATATGAGATGATTTTTCTCATGGCAATGGGAGCCGGACATTTTCTTTAGGTATACTCACTGGTCATCTTGCTGCCATCCGGTCATTAGAACTGGAGGCATGTAGAAACAGGATCCCTAGACCCAGTGGCGAACGAAAAGTTACAGCTGTGCTGGTGCGCCTTTGGGCTTGAACAAGAAAGTGACTTGATCTGAGCAAACTCGAAAGACATCCGCCAACACAAGTTTAGATCACATCCCCGTGAAAGGAGCACCCATCACATGCTTATTTACCCGTCGCTTCATCCTCAGCTGAGTCGCCTGTTTGCTTGCCCAAAAGGGAAACAATGCTGTTTTTCCGATCAAGGTGAGCCCGACGTTGCAAACAAGTCACCACCCGATGAGAGGCACAAACTCCGCCTCCGACTGCGACTTGATGAGCCAGTCCTGATCAGAATGGAAAACGAAGCGAGCCAGGACAGCACCCAAGGAAGAAACGCTGCATTTGACCCCGCAAGGAAAGCCAGTGGATGCTCACAGGAAGAATTGGCTGTGGGTCAAAACCAATGGTACAATTCTCACCACCCATTTTAGTCTATTTTAGTGGGGATTGGGATGTTCGCTGGGGGTAGGCTTTTGACCCATGGCCAATTGGCGGGCCATACACGTTGCACTTCTGGAAGTGCAAAGGCATTTCAAAGAACGCCCAAGCATCAAAGGCGACTTTAGTTGCGAGTAGTCAATTGGGTTTCTCTTTTTCCACCAGCAGGCGCAGAAAGTGTCATCCTCCGAAAAATGCAGATGCGCTTCTTTTTGAGCTTTGCAAGTACAAAGGCACACCAGTACTCACCGAGATTCAGAACCAAATGGGGCCTTCACTGCCCCAGTTCACTTCGAAGGGTGCCACTTGCCCAAACGGATTCTACGAAAACTGGTCTCGGCAATGCCTGAGCCCTAAGGTTCACGCTCAAACAATGAACAACGGAAAGAAACGAGAAAAACCGCGATGCCTACATGGGTATGGGTCAAAATACACCCACCAGGAATTGGACCGCAGGTTTTAGTCTTTGGCTCCATTTTTATCAGGGCAACCGACCCACAGAAAAACATGTCGTTGCCGATCCTCAGCTTACGGGCGGCCAAAGACCTCTCAGTTGCGATGTTTGGACGGACTTCCGAAACCCAAGGGAGTCACTTGCTCAAGACCCGGTACTAAAATGGTCGTAATCCCAGAACCATGGAAAGAATTAGGAAGGCAGATATCCGCAACTATTTATGGTTGGGACTGCCCCTTACTCATCTTCAATCCCGTTTTGAGCCAGCTCAAGTGAGGCTCTGAGGAAGCCAGAACTCCAACGGCACCCAGACCTACGTGCCGATCTTCTGCTCTGAGGTCCAAGGAGTTCATCGAACAAACTCGAGCAAAAAGCTCGGCCGCCGCAACGACCCCTCTGCAAAAACCAAAAACAAACGAAAAGCCAAGCGTCTTCACGTCGTGTGGGTGAAAAGTACAGAGATTTCAATACCCCAGGAAGCTTCAACCAAAAGTTCCGGGTGGCCAACAAAAAAAAAACGACGACGTAAAAAAAAGAAGGCGTGTCTCCAAACCGATGTCACACCCGAAACCCCGAAAGCCCCCCCCCGAACCGTCCAGGCTGGGGCCGCTGGTGCTGGGCCCGGCAAGGCTGGGGATCCACAGGAAGGGCTCCTGGCCATGGATTCGCGAGACGGAACTCACCAGTGAAAGCTCGGCTCGGAGCGTCCCATGGGCTTTATGGAAACCCCATAAGCTTTTTATAGCCCACAAGAAGTCGCAGGGCTTAAACCCTGCGTCTACAGGGGGACATGCTTATCCAACAAACCGTGGAAAAGGCAAACTATAGTACTAAGTCGAGCATGGACAGACTTCGGAGTTTCCCGTTGTTTATTACGGCGCAGTTGTGAAACAATGGTTCGGATATTCGCTCGGATGGGAATCTTGCACTCGAAATGCGAGAAGGCATGCAGCCTTCTAATGTGGTATCCATCCGTGAGGGGGGAAACTGCATGAAAAATAAGAAGGCAACTAGGATCTCTTGAAACGGGCACTTGAGCTTTGACGGTCTCCCATCGAGATTTCAGCTTGTACTCAGGAAAATATGCAGCTCTGGCTGCCATGCGCGAGACTCCGAGAAAGACAGATGCCTTTCGCTACACCAGAAAAAGCTGTATGCAGCGGGCAAGCTCAGAACATGTCGGGCTGTGGGTCTGTCTCTTTTTGGAAAGGGGAACCAAAGGGAAACCCACCATTCTGGGGGCCCCCGAAAAAAAGTCACACACACACACACATGTGTGTGTGTGTGTGCTCATGTTTTTTTCAGGGAGATCCAGCCAGCTTCTCAGCTGTCTGGAACTCGGGTCCATCAGGCGAGCGACGCCTGAAGAACAATTTCCGGGGTGCCAGGCCCAACCTGAGAACCTTTCGCGCACACTTTGGCGTGGATGCCATTCAGACTCGTGGATTGGCTAGGTCCAGTAGAGAGGTTAGAATTCGGGTAGTCTATTTTAAGCAGGGGAACCCTCCCCCAAAAAAGGCGAGAGAAGGGCACTGGGGCACCTAGTGGGAAAAAAGCTCTACAAGCTTCAAATCCGTAGTGGCGCTAAGAAAAATCCAGATCCCCAAAACACAAGGCTCAACGGGCAGGGCTTCCCCAGGCAACGGCTTCCTATCCACGCAAATCGATCCACGTGAGACATTGAGCCCGCCCTTCAAGTTTCAAGTCCCGGCCAACCTTCTATCTCTTCTTTCTCATGCGTGAGCTGACAATCTCCGCTCGTGCAAAGCTCCCCTGAAAGAACTCATTTAAATCACTCATCCCCAGAATAACAACAGGATCGTGCGCCTCAAGGAAGCCAGCGACTGGGACATCTTCGGGTGGTGACCACTCAAGGAAGCGAAGCCCGGCCCTGCGCCTGGAACTTGGGGTTCACCTCCGCGAGCTTCAAAATCGAGCGGTAGAGGCCGATGAAGATGGGGAACTGCACGATGGAAGGAATGCACCTGCCATAAAAACCGTTTTCGGGTGCCAACCCGCTAAAAGCAGGACAAAAGCCTGACAAGAGCCCTGAAAGCGTGGGGATACATGAGTGTGGATCAAACATAGGTGGTACCCAGGATGGACTGGTAAATGGAAACAAGGACTCAACCTGCGGTCCATGGTGGTTTAATTTTGACTCATACCCGCATTGGGATAATGGTTGACCCTCAAAACTGACGACCAGCTTGCCCAGGATGGCCATAGTCTTTGCAAAGGACGACACCCAATTGGATGATTTGTTGGATTCCCCTGCGAGCCACAGCAAACATCTTGAGCGGCCCTCCCAGCGGGTTCACGCCGCAGTCGTCGTACAGCCGAAGCAGCATCCGGTTCTGCGTCTCCTCTCGAAACGTATGGGTTTTGTCTTCCTGCACTGGAACTAGAGGTGCGCCGACAAGCAGTGGAGGATGGAAATGCATGTTCAAACAGACTGGAGCGAGCATAGCCTTCCCAGAAGGAATGACTGGTGATGGCTGAGGAGCGCCATTTTGATCTGGGCTATCTGTGCTCAACAGGCGCCCAATTGATGCAACCGGCTGCAACTGCCGCACTGAGTGTTCAAGGGCATGTTCTGCTGTGGTGATGATGTGCAGTGCGGGCAACACGGCCATGTGTGGCGACTGCCACACCCCCTTGGCATCCGGAAGCGGAGCTACCGTCGCGCGGCGACGGTTTGAGCCTAGGATGGAGGGTTCAAGGACGCCGACATAAAACCGAAGCTAGCCAATGGCTCATGTGAGAAACTGCCGGAATGACTTTGTCTGAATTGGAAAATGTCCGTGAGGTAAGCTCTTTGAGCCACCAGTTCAGGTCCTACCCTCAGACTAACAGCCGGAGGTTCCCAAAAACTCCTCTGCAAATGGAACCAAGTCTTTTGTTGATCCTGGAAGCTTCCAGGTAAGCCTGGAAAAGGCTATTCACCGCGATGTCTCCTGGTCGTTCTTGTACTTCCGGTTGACCTGATCGATCTTGGGCTTGATCAGCTGCATGATGGCGGCAGATCCTGGGCGAAGGCGCACACATGGCCTGGGCTATATATATATATATATACATATTTCGCTCCAATGCAAATCCCAATGCAATGGCATGCGATGCCATAAATTGTCATGTGATGCTGCAACGCAATGGCGTTTAATGTATAACTAATGTAGTGTGGTCATGCAACGGCACGTATACTATTGCAATGAAATGTCTGTATTGGCCTGTAATTACATTGCTTTCAATGCAAAATGTAATGTAGAGTCACGCAGTGTCTAATGTCGCACAATGTAGTGCATGTATGCAATGCAATGCAATATAATGTAGCGTGCTCTAAATTAATGTATAGCAATCTAATGTAGTATGTTTGCACGCATGGTATGTGCGTGAGTGTGGGTGTTGGTGTACGTAGGCAGGCAGGCAGGCAGGCAGGCAGGCAGGCAGGCAGGCAGGCAGGCAGGCAGGCAGGCAGGCAGGCAGGCAGGCAGGCAGGCAGGCAGGCAGGTGGCCAGGTAGGTAGGTAGGCATGGCAGGCATGGTAGGCATGGCAGGCATGGTATGTATGGTAAGCATGGTAGGTATGGTAAGCATGGTAAGCATGGTAAGCATGGATGGATGGATGGATGGATGGATGGATGGATGGATGGATGGATGGATGGATGGATGGATGGATGGATGGATGGATGGATGGATGGATGCATGCATGCATGGATGGATGGATGGATGGATGGATGGATGGATGGATAGATGCATGGATGGATGCATGGATGGATCGTTGTATGAGTGTATGTCTCTATGCATGTCTGTACGTGTGTATGTGCGTAGTGCATGCGTCTACTGTATATGTACATGTGCAGCAGAACGCATATGCATATGCATCTGCATGTTGTGCTGATGTGTAGTATCATGATGAGACAAAACAGCCGAATGATTCCAGAAAAAGCACGGCATAGAGCCCGTTGAACCTGGGACGTGTCAGATTCCAGAGATTTTGGGGAAACGGCTACAAGCGAGGAATGCCATGGGTTGAAATACAAAGGACCTCGGAAAGGGCCTATCCTGCCACATCGGCAAATTCACCAATGCCCTTTGATCCTCCTCTGGGATTCTTGCCAAAACCTTTTGACGAGTCATTGCAAAAGACCCACACAACGACCCTATCTCAGTCTCCAGCGGAGCGCTGCCTGATTCAAAGGATACGTCAGCACCTGCGAATTCCACGTGTGTTCCAAGCTTGGGGTGGCTCTGTTGCTTCCTTCAATCGCGAGCACCTGACTCCCTGACCACTGAACGGGGAAGATGCTGGAGTGATGTCTTTATGATTCCCAGTATGAGCGTAAAGCATCGCAAGAGGAGGCGTTCCTCGTGCTCAGCGGGACGTGCGCATAAACAAACAAAATATATACGATCCCCACGGGCAAACCCCTGGAACCCTTCCTTACAAACAAAAGCAATAGAAAAACAACAATGACACAAGCAAACAAACAAACAAAGCAAGCGAGAGTGCAGGATATTTAAAAAAAAAGCAACCAACAAAAATCAGAAAGCCTAAAACTAAACCACAAACAAGCACCTTCCTCACGCACATGAAACTCTGTGCAGGTACCTTGATGAGCAGCGTGTAGCTAATGATCGCAAAGCCTCACGCCGGCGACTGAAAAGTTGGGCCAGGTGGCCGGGGGCTCCCTGGATTGGAAAACCTTCCCATGCAATACCCAGGGTAGACTTAAACCCAGAAATGGTTCCTTCCCCCCAAAAAAAAGAACCCCTGGGTTTAAGTCTATTTTGGGGTACTCAAAAAGTAGGGATTTGCTGTGCCCTTGCTCGGACATCAGCTTCGAAGACGGCCGTAGCTCGTCACTTCTGCAAAGGTGCTAGTCAGAACTGCGGCACAAAAAATTGCAGGCCATGGATCAAAAAGAGCATTTGTTTTCACCGCCAAAACAACTCCCAAGCAAGGTGTCATCTGGCGTCTGAAGCCAGATGAAGAAGCGTGCAGCCTTGGGGCTTGTGCAATCCGTTCCTGAAGTTTGACTTGTGAAGGATTTCCCCCTTTTTTGGACCTAAGTAGCAACTCAACCCAACCAGTCAATCAATCCACTGAAGTAAAGCCCCAACTTCTGAACCTCGCCATGGCTGAGCCGCACGTGTCTGAGCTCCTGAGCTCCTGAGCTCGGGGCCGAAGCTGTTGGGAACGTGCAGCTGATCTTCGATGACCTCGTGTCGAAAGCTGCCGGGTGGCGCTGAAGGAGCCACCAAACGCCACGCCCATGTTGGAGGGTACTTACGCTTTTAAAGGAAATCCAAAGGTCAGAACCGCCGTCCCCAATTTTGCGACAAACTCGAGTTTGCCCAAGATTGAGACTCTTATGCGTCTGTGAGAGAACTTGGCAAAGGCGTCACTCCTCCCCATCCATGATATTGTCACTGGCATGAACTGTAGCAGGCATTCGCGTTTCAGAAATTATTGTCATCTTACAAGGACCTGCTCGTGATGGTTCGAATCCGGAACGTGGATGGAAGCAAAATCATGTTCGGACCTGTCATGCGAGATCCCGGAGACTGCTCTCGAAGGGTTTGCGAAGCGCCAAAAAGAAACTGTCGAAGGATGCGATGCCCTGAAGTTGCTTCGCAAGAAGGTTCAAAGCTCTAAACATGACACACATCTGCTCCCCACTCTTCAGAAAACCGTCAGGTCGGGGGGTTCGGAACCCGAAATTCGATCCGTGATGTGTCCCTTTGAAGCCGAGAGAGTCCCTTTCAAATCCCTGAACCTGGCAGGCCAGGTGTCACCGCCAAAAACTCGCACACCCAACTTGGGCTTTTGAATCAGCCCTCAGGGGCCCAATTGACCACGACCTTGCGACTCCGCATCTTCGGCAGAGCGACACCATCGATGCCGGCGATGATGCCGGCGTTGAACTGGATCAAGGGCTCGAACCTTAGGCCAGAGAGTCTCCGGCCACCAACCAGTTTCAACATGTTTTAGCCAATGTGTTGTACACATCATTGGACCTCCCAAAAATGGGTGGCTTTCCCTTGTAGTTTCCCTGTCAAACCATCAAAAAGGGGCACCCCCAAAAAGTGCGACCCACCCTTCTGTGTCTCATGGCTGGGGAGCTCCGACTGCACTTTGACCCTGCAGAAATGTGTTTCTGACACACATGCATGCAGTGGAGCAGCAAGTCTTCCAAAGCGATTGGCATTATGGACACGGTTGCTAAAGTCTGCTTTCGTCCACATGCAAACTACTCCTGCACTGCCAAGTTCTATGCGGAGTCCGTGCTTGCGTAGGCAGCCCAAACGGCCAGCAACACTGATCAAGGCAGGAGGCAGGGTTCAGGCAAGGTTTGGGCACTCGGGGGCAGCCAGCCAGAGAGGCAGCCAGCCAGAGAGGCGTCGTTAGAAAAGTATATTGGTGTTTCAGGATGCTTCCGTCAGCACGCTAACTGCTCCTGCTGAGTTCTGCTCGGCACGAGCCGCCACGCTTGCAAAGGCAGCCCAAACGGCCAGCAACACTGAAGGGGGGGGGGGGTCATTTTGGGGGGGTCCATGTGAATTTGTAGGGGCAGTCTTCAGTTTGGATCAAAGAGGTTCTGCAGAAGCCTGCCAGGGGTTCAGCCTGCAAGCTTTCCCCATGAATTCCTGCAAGGCCGTGATGTTGAACGCAGCAAGTTGCATTGACAGCAGTGCAAAAAATACGCAGGTGAATACACAGATTGATCAGCCTCTCCAATTCTGAGTACTTGGGGACTTGACACCAAAACTGAAGACACAAAGAGTAAACAGAAGTCTCAGAATCCCGAGGAATTCAGCTCAAAAAGCCTCGCGGGCGTCACCTCTCACACTTGCCTTCTTTCACAAGGTTAAATGGCCATGGGTCAAAATCCCGGTTAGCCCCCCGTGAACATCCCAATCCCCAGGTTCTAAAATGGGTGGTGAATTCACCTACCAACCAAAATGGGATCTCATTGGTTTTGACAACCATAGCCAAATATTGATTTGGAATCAAAGCTGACACTCCGCTCAGGTCGAAGGTTTTCTTTTCATAAGCGCTAGACAGTTCGAGTGCGGGTGATGCCTTCAGCTCAAGTCGTAGGGTTTGAGAAGGTTCCTTCCATTTGGTTAAGACCCCTGGAAAAGACGAACAACAAATCCAGTAGTCATAAATTCCTTTTAGAACAAACAAGGGAAAAGAAAAAGGGAAAAAAACAACTTCAGCAAATGGAAGCTTCTCTTCGCCTGCTCCCGACTTCTGATCTAAACTGGGGCCAGCTGCCAGTCTCCTCCACTTTGCGCCACCTCTCCGATCACCTTTCAGGGGGAATTTTGTGGCTGTGGTTGTCAAAACCGTTTTGGGATCCTATGATCCCATTTTGGTAGGTGCAACACCCATTTTAGAACGTATTTTAGTGGTTGGATTTTGGTTGGTAGGTGAATTCACCACCCATTTTAGGACCTATTTTAGTGGTTGGATTAGGATGTTCCCGTTCACTGGGGGCTAACCGATTTGGATTCCGAGCCATGGCCAGCTCCGCCATCGCGCGAAAAAAGTGCCTGCAGTTTTTGATTAAAGTCTCGAAAGGTTGGCCAAAACTACGTCTCGCAGAGCGCGTAGAATCAGTTGGCACCGACTTTGTTATGTGATTTGTCTATTTTAGTAGGGGACCCTCCCCTAAAAAAGGTGGGTAGAAGGGCACCTAGCTGGGGACCTAGAAAAGCAATTGTATCATACTTGTTTTCGCGTCCCACAGGTTGGCCAAAAGGTGTTTATCAAGGTGTTTATATGAAACTTAATCACACAAGATGAGCGTCTTACGTGGCATGCGTGCTCACCCACAGGAATGTATGCAGTAGAGTACCAAATTGCCAGAGGGCGCCGAATGAAATCGATACGCTGCATCCACTCCCAACCAAACCCAAGAATAGGTATGATGTGGCGGGCGAAATGAATCCTAGATGGCCACTTCCAATCACCAAGCCAAGGTTCCCCATGCGTTGCAAATAGGGAACTCGCAAACAACCCTACAGGTTCTCTCGCGTTCTCTTTGGGTGTTCTCATTTCCAGATGGGTGCGGTTAAGGGTCGGGTTTTGGACATCCCTCGCCGTGCCTCTTCGGCATCCTCAGCGGCACCTGCCCACTCAGCCAAAGAAAAGACGCCACTCTCAGCACGTTGGGGTGGGAACTGATGTCCAGAACCATTCTTGAGCGTGTTTTTCTTGGATTTGGTGGGGGGCCTCGTTTGAATTGTCTTTCAACAAGAAGAACAATCACAAAAGTCAGGAACTGAACCACTACCCCTCCCCAAGCCCCCCCCAAAAAAAACACAAAAAACATAAAAAGGCACTGGAGCTTTTTCAGAGATGGCTGGAGTAATCACAAAAAGGACACCCTTATGGGTATGGGTCAAAATTAACCCACCACAAATTGGACCGCAGGTTTTAGTCTTTGTTTCCATCCAGGGCAACCCATTTGGGGGTTACCCTAGTTTTGAAAACCACACCAGGGTTGTGGGATCAAGGGGTTTATCCCCATACAAAAGAATTGTCCCTTTATATGGGGGGGGGGCAGTCTTTGGGAACCCCCTTTTTGTTGTATCACAGGAGTGGTCATTTCCCACAGACAACCACAGCCTTCTCTTTCCTTTTGCCTGGGACGCCAACGAGCCATGGAGAGCACCGGTCCCAAAACTCCACTGGCTGCGCCTGCGGCGTCCGCCGCCGCGCCGGCCACTGCCGTGGCAGCCTCAAGTATGGACACGGGAAGAGAGAAAGAAAAAACCAAAAAAAACAGACAGACAGACAGACAGACAGACAGACAGACAGACAGACAGAAAGAAAGAAAGAAGGCCGAAAAGCAAGAAAGAGAGCAAGCAGGAAAGCAGGAAAGCAAGAAAGTAAGAAAGACATAGAGACAAAGGGAGAGAGAAAGAGCTAGACATGCCACAATTTGTGTGCACGTTAAGCGGGAATGATATGGTTAGATGTTGGATTTGACAAGGTATCAGGACCATCCTGAAAACCCTCGACCACCCACCAGACATTCTCACCATGGCACGAATGCAATACTCGCATACTCGTGATATTAGAGCGATGCTTCAAGCGGCTAGTTGTAATATGACAATCCCTGGAGAGTCCCGACCTTTAACAACGTGAAACTTGGGCAACGGCGTGTTCGAATATTCCATGATGGTCTTATCGATAAAACTGTCTCAGTCTCACCTGTTCTGCTGTGAGAACAATCAGTACCAAGTATCAGACACTTCCCAGAGCTTGACCATCAGATTTCCTCATGAGCAGGTAACACCACAAAATTTATGCAGATTGACCCATGTCAATGTGGGCTGCTTTGCCTGCGATTTCCCACCAGTCGGGCAGAACACGCAGAACTTGAAGCGACCGCCGATGGAGACGTCATCAACATGCAGCTGGCAGCTCACACAAACCCGGCCTCCTGAGCCAGAGCTGGCTCCGCCACAGCCTGACTCAAGATACACCCCACTTGGTGCCTGGTACTCCGAAAACCCTCGCGGCACCCCGGAAAGCGAATGAGGAAAAAGTACGCAGAGGTACAGCTTAGGGGATTTCGCGCTGTTGAGAGGCAGAACCAGCCATGGGTCAAAACCCCGTACCCCCAGTGAACATCCCCACTAAAATAGACTAGAATGGAGGTGCACCTACCAACCAAAATGGGAACCACAGCCAACTGTGAGCAGCAGGGACAAAACACACACACACACACACACACACACACATCGCCATGTCGAGGTGGCATCGTCTTGTTCCCGGAACCCTTTTATCTCGGCACTTGCGCACTGGTCTGCTTGCTCTGTGCCGTTGACACTCCCTTGCAAAAATCCGGCAGACCCGCAGCTCACGGAGAGCAGCGATTAGCGTGTGTAATTATTCGCGTTGATGTGTATGCATTGAACGCTTTGATCCACGAAAAACAAATGACCTGGGCGTAGATTTCTGCACGGAAGAAATCCGAAAATGACCAGGGGTGTTGTCCTGTTAGCGAGAGCCTGGTGCACTTTCAAGCAAATGGTCTTGGGAGTGCGCATTTGTTGCCGGAAAATCTACCCCTTGACAGGCTGGACCCCTATCGACCAATTGTAAGGATCATATACAGAGCATCTCTGTTGACCAGTGAACATCTGTTGTGTGACTGTGAATTCTTGGAGCTTGGACGTGCCATTTCCAGGTCCGCCGTTATCCCAGGCACCTGAGGATGCCCTCGTGATTGCTTGGCTGCGGGTCAAAATGCAGACCTTTGCTTCTGGCGGATCCCGCTTTCCTGTTTTTGCGGCCGGTCGTTTAGTGGTGAGGAAGGGGCTCTCATGTTAACCGCCCCTTTGCATCTCTGTGCTCACAGGTTGCAACGTGTGCAGTGTGCCAGGTGTTGGTCCCACAATGCCACGCGTCCCGCCAAAAACACCAAAACCCAGGCCAAAAACACCAAAACCCAGGCCAAAAACACCAAAACCCAGGCCAAAAACACCAAAAGCCATGTCAAAAACACTAAAAGCCCTATTCAGCCAAAAACGCCAAACGCCGGGCCCGCGGATCTCGGTCTGGACTCGCCGCTGGGCTGTCGGGCAAAAACGGCCAGAGCGCCTGCCGCAACCTCAGAGCTGCTCCCTTTGAAGTGCCTTCCTTTGGGCACTCGACTGGTGCCGGCATGAGGCTGTGGGTCAAAAATAGGGTAACCCACAAATGGACCCCTGTTGAATGGAAAGAAGGACTAAAACCTGCGGTCCAATTCCTGGTGGTCTAATTTTGACCCATACCCATGAAGTACCCCTACAACTTGGCTCGAGCGCCGAGTCCATATTCAAGTCGTCCTGGTTTTGAAGTTAGCTGGACCAAGTCTGGAAGCAAGGTCGCCACTGCTAGTCGCTGCTAGTCTTCATGCTTTCTGCGTTATGGGTGGGGGTCCAAATTCAACCACCAGGAATTGGACCACAGGTTTTAGTCCTGGGTTCCATCCAGGGCAACCCATTTCGGGGTTACCCCATTGTTGACCCACAGTCGTATCAAGACAGCACCACAACCCGCTCTGCCTTGGATTGGCTGACAACTTCCTTGGGGCTGAGGCAAGCGGCAAGGGAATCTCAGCCTTCTCCTGCGGAACAGGTCGCACCCAGCACTCGAACTCGGAGAAGCTACGGTGGGTGCCCTAGATATTGCAAGTAAATCCACCACACCCAACCACCAAACCATGACAAATTACAGTAGATTAGGTGGGTTTCAACCACACCCAACCACCAAACCATGGCAAATTACAGTAGATTAGGTGGGTTTCAACCAACCCCAACCACCAAACCATGATACTTTTTACGGAATAGGGGGGGGTTCCTGGCTTCCTGCTTGCGGTATTTGGTGCATCCACCGCAGGTCGCCCATCCCAATCAAAAGTCAGCACGCGGGCCTACAGGGGTCACTGGATTTCCCCAGAGCTTGCAATCTACCGGTGGCTTTCTTTTTTCGACTGCCACTGTCGACTGCTCGAAGAAATCGAAAGGGAAATGGAGGAAACCCTGACCAAGCAGCTGCGTCGAGAAAGAAACGGAAAGAGAAAGAAGAAGAGCACGAGAGCGCGGTACCTGGCGGCTGTTTACCTAAGTACAGAGTTCCAGATCTGTAGCGGCCAACGGGCCAACCAAACAACTACGACACCGACCGGTCTCCGAATCCGAAGTCAAAAAATTGTGAGGCCATCTTGGCATCTGGACACTGTTCGATTTGTTTCTCGCCCCAAATGCCCGTCGTGTGACCGCTGAATATGTGGCCATGGGTCAAAATCCCGTACCCCCAGTGAACATCCCAATCCCCTCTAAAATAGACTAAAATAGGTGATGCACTTACCCCAAAATGGGATCCCATTGGTTTTGACCCACAGCCATGTCTTGGAATTTGTTACAAGCAAGACATCCGCTCCTGAGACGCAGGAACCTTGGTCCGCCGACCCATCACACTTGCTCCGATCGGAAGGCATGTGACGCAAATATTGTGTTTCAGATCACTTCAAACTGGTGTGATCCTAAAGAAGAGTTCGTGCCGACATGCTGCTTGCGCATCAAAGGACCACCAAAAAGGCAAAGCAACAAACATAGTTGCTTTCTGCTCCCCTGCTAAAAGTTTAACTTTTAGTGGTTTAATGGAAAACCCATTAGTTGGCAAAAAGTTAAAGTCCTAACATCCAAGCAAAATGCACCTCTGTATGATTAGATCATTGCAGTGGGAGCAGACATGGTGTTGTCTTCAGATTCCCAGGTGCCGGGCGGCAAGTTGAATCACGTGGCAGCCTCAGCACTTGCCTGCCTTCAGAAGGCGCCTTTTGGCCCTCAAAACATAGAAACTGTACAAGCAACCCCTTCAGAACCAGAAGATGGCGTGAACCCAGCTCAACTGAAATTTCATGCCACAAACCATGAACTGCCCTATGACGTCCAACTCCCGAAATCCCATCAGTGCGCAACTAGCAATACCAACCCTCACCCCTTCACCCCTATCATTGCGAGCATCACACAACCCCAAAAAGCAACCCCAAAACCCGACTCCATCCCATCGCCACTCAGAGACTGAGGCGTCAGCGCTTCTCCCGCGCAGCCCTACGGCCCTGCCTGACAGTGCTGAAAAATGCAAATCCGGCTCCGACAAATCCCTCTTAGATTAAACAGGAAGATACACCAACCAGTGCAAGCGTCAAACAAGCAGAACTAAGAATGGTGCGAGTAATTGTTCGGTGTTCTGGGCGTGAGACGTTGAGCCGCGCACTTCTGCCAATCCCGTCATGATAAATCTTACAGAACCAACTCCCAGAAACTTGCAACATGCTGCCTATTCACGAACTAGGTGGTTACTCATCCAAGGGTTCCCTTTGCACGGAGCGCTCTGTTTTGCGAGCGCATGCTTTGGCTCCAGGTCAACCTCGGAATCTTCCGCCATCAGCGTGTCACGCAGCTGCATCAGCAACTTGGCTAACATGTTCTCGCCCTCGCCGTCAAAGCCGATTCCCCAGAAAGCATCCCCTTTGACTGACGCCAGCGGGTGTGGGGCGGTTGACAGCAGCAACGCACGCAGCCCAGGGTCCGCGCGGAACTTGTGAGCGACTGCCACGCGCATGACTTCCACCTTTGCGGTCTCCCAGTCGTCCCGCACACTGCACCGCTGTCCCCATCCGTACGCCTCCATCTCCGATACGTTCGCTGCGCGACCGATGGCCTCAGCAAAGCTGGGCGTCGTTTCTGCGGGCCAGAGCCGCGCATCCCGGTGCTTGTGCAGCTGATAGAACTGCTCGGGGCCAGCGAAGCGCACGCCGTGCGCCGTGAAGCCCGGCTCCCGAAACGGCCACAGCGAGTGCACGTTCTCGAACTCACTCGCCCAGAGGTAGCCTCGCCCAAGCGCTCCCTCGGCCGCCGCGATTCCGCCGTGCGAGAAGCCCAGCGCGTCGGCGAGGCAGCGGTGCGGCACCCAGCATGGCAACTCCAAGCCGTCGAGCAGACGCTGCAAGTTTCGGCCCGGCCGCTCCGGCGCCACGGACACGTAGTACTGCGCCTCCCTCAGGCTCGACGCCATGCAAGCGGGGGGGTCCTTCAGATTTGTCAGTGAGCTTTGCACATGTTGCCACTTGGTGCACTGAATTTTAACATGTAGAGCGGCACTCCCAGAACCTAGACGGTCCAAAATCCAAAGCAGCATTACTAGATACTAATAGAAGTTATAACGAGGAATGCGGAAATTCCCTATGAATAATTAGTCCTTTGTTCACAGCATTCCTTTCTTCCTCCACCTAGTTGGCCTTGAAAAATGCTGGCCACAATTCACATGGGCATACTTCAGGTTGCTTCGCTGACCTCCAACTCTGGATTCTCGGGTGTTTCGTGCAACCACAAACCATGGGCACGCGACGCAGAGGAAGAGTCTCTCGCTTCGGGAGTTTCTCTCAAATGGCACGTAGGTCCCCAATTTACTGGGAAATCAGCCCCTCTTTCGGGCCTTGTAATAGCCTGTTTACAAGGTACTGTATAGTTTGGGTCATTAGGGGTACACACTTTGATGGTACAGGTCAACAGCCGGCGCCCGAGTCAATGGCTCCCTCCTCATACACGATGGCTGATGCCCACATTCATCATAGCACGCATACCCGCCCAGCCACTCCGGACTCTACGGTACCTTGGCCCATCTTTCCCTTTGCCAGGGATCGTTCAATGGAGGGGGGCCGGCACGAATCCGTGATCGCTATTGAAAAAAAGCTACCTCAAGGGCAGGATCTGGCAGACTGCCGTTGCTGTCCGCCCAATCCAAACCTGTCCGCCCGCCGGTCTTCTATTTCGTTTTGCATCCAAACCGTCACATGCAGTCTTGAGGTACCTGAAAGAAATCATCCCCTTCCCCTCAAGAATGAGGTACCCCTGTGAAAAAGTGTTTCCGAGAAAACGTCAAAGTCACGCCAATTCTACAAATACTAGCGATCTTCTGGCAATGACCAATACTAAGCCAAAACTAACCCACTACTACACAAATACTCCACGTATACAAAGACCTCAAAGGGCCGAGCCGGAGCTCGGACTCCTCTCACAATTCCCCACCCGAGCCTGTTTCACGCAAATCCTCTGCTTCGGGTTTCTTTGGCAAGCGCCGCCCTGCCACACCAAAGACCACCCCAACCCAACCCGGCGCCTGAGCAGCACCGCGGCCGCGCCGCTGCCGGCCACTGCGGCGCACACACCTGCTTGGCTGTGGGTCAAAACCAATGGTACCATTTTGGTTGGTAGGTGAATTCACAACCCATTTTAGGCTTCCTATTTTAGTGGTTGGATTGGGATGTTCAATGTACGATTTGGATTTTGACCCATGACCGCTTGAGTCGCTTGCTGTCGAAGCCAACCGGTGGACCGCTATTCCCCAGCGCCTCGGGAGCGGGAAAGACCACTGGGCTGCGCTGTTGCAGCGCGCGGCTTCAAAGGCCGGGCCAGTTCCTGGCTGGGCGGAAGAAAAAAAACACGGAAGTGTGCTGTGTGTTCAAAATCCTCGCGCGGGCCATTGTGATAGTATTCCCTGAACAGGAACCCTTGTCACGGTGTCAATGTCCCATCACAGGGTCCATGACTATAGGAACCCTTATCATTGTCAAAATTCTAAGAGGTTGACGACCATCCCTACCCCAAGTGGCTTGGTCTCCACATTGGGATGAAACCCCAGCTTTTCCTGTTGATTTCCCTTTACCCACCCGCCAAAACCGTTTTTCCCCAAAAACACACCAAGGCATGAGGCACCAGAAGCATGGGCTTCGCAGGCGGCCTTATTGTCCAGCAACGGCTGCGCCACGAACCTGTGGTCGCGCGGCTCGAGGGCGGCAGCCCTTTTGGATGATGGCTTTACAAGGAATCCAAACAAGTTAACCTGGCATTTCTTGGGATTTTTGGAGACACCTGTGGCCAAGTCCGAAAGATGTTCCGCAGCGTGCTTGTTTTTAGGAAACCGTTTCCCTTTGAAACCACCACAAAGCCGAAAAGGGACACCCAGCTCGAGCTTCGCACCAACCCCAGGGCCCCCCTGGGACGCGAACCCGATGCCGGAGTGCAGCTGCCACAGGGCGGCGCCTCTCCGCGCGTTCGACGCAAAGGCGCGACACGTGGGGCTGCTCATCCCTCTTGCTTTGACTCCAGTTCACCAACCAGGCAAACTTTCCCCAACTGTTGGTACAGGGTATTTCTGATCTCCCCAAGGTGCACAACGCCACAAAAAAAAACCGTTCCACATGGAAGCCCCGGGCTGGAATCTGGGCGGCTGGTGGCTGGTGGCTGGCTGGCGCCGAGGGTCCCCGCGAGTTCAAAGCCGCTGGAAGTCGCGCGACAAGCTCCGACTCAACAAAACTCCAACAACTTTGGAGCGGAAATCCCTTTTGGAAGTTCAATCCCTTCCGGGTCAAAAAGAAGAGAATTGAGTCCGGACGTATGCGAAGTTCTCTTCCGCAAGTGGCAAACTGCAACTTATAGGCTATAAGTACGAAGGCAATTAGTGTGCGGCTCACTCTTCCGCAGGTCCGGCCCGGAAATCGCAATTTTGAGTTAAACAAGTTGCCTAGTTCGCGGCGGTCGCCCTTCCAAATCGGGCGGTCTTCGTTTTGAGCGGTTTCTGAGCCATACTGCCTAACCACGTTCCCGCGCGCTGAACTCAAGCCAGCATTGCCAGCGTGGCGACATTGAGAATCCAACTTGGACCCGCACGAAAACGCAGAAGTGGAGCGCTGTCAACATGGTCGAACAGCTTCTGCTACTATGATCCAGTGGCATGAGCCATGTGGCCCATGTGCGCAGCGGCAACCTTCTGGACTTGTACAATTGCACTTTGGAATGCCTGGAGACGGTAGGCGCTGAGGCATGTGCAAAGCTTTGTCAACGCCTAGCACACGCACCTGCTGGACCAGGGTTTTTCCCCCAAAGCCCACACGCTACAGCACTTGCACATGCTCGGATTGCTTGCACACAATTTCAATTTATCCGGGCGCTCACACATGCCAAGCCTCTTACACCACCTGTCCCAAAGCTTGATGCTGCACACCGCTGCTCGAGGAGATTGCACGGTCATCAACGTACATGGCCTGATGAAAAGGGCGCCCCAGATGATGCATAGTGGCTCCATGTAGCTGAGCATCAACCAAAGTCACCACCCAACTTTTGGCCTTTCGAGCCATGGCAGATGATTTGACCTTGTTGATGCGCGCAACCTCCTCGCACCGTTCCTTGGGAAGGAAGACTTGCTTGGCATGCAACATATGATGAGGCAGCTTGTCACTGGTTATTCATGCTGTTCACAAGGTTGCCAAATGCTCCCAGGCATGGATCGGCCAGTGGGAGCAGTGGCTTTTTGCGCGGGCTATTTCCATAAGCTCTTTGCCTGCATCCGTGGCCCTTCGGGCCGGGTGGCTCGTCCTTGGTGGATTCTGATCATTTCTTCACACATGCCAGATTTTCCCAGCAATTTTCCAATGCCCGAAAGGCCTCATGCGTGGTTTTTGCCGCACATGCGCTTCCCTCCTCGTCTGTGTAGGCGATGACATCTGGAGTGAGGGTAGGGTCTCCTTTCAGCCAGGCAGTAACCGCTTGCCGTCCCTCCGTCATGTGCTCTTGCCACTTTTTGATTCGCTGGTCTGTGAGGCGCGTTTGTCTTGGTCCAATTTCTGTTGAACCAGAGTGATGGCACGTGGCACCTCACATGTGTCTGATAGCGAATGTGGCCAGGTTCTCACAACGCTCTGCCAAAGCCTTGGATCGTGCCTTTTTTGAGACGAAGGCTTGGGGTTGTTCCTTTCCCCCGTGTTTTAATCCTGTTCGAATCTTCAGCCGCGTTGCCGTTTATGCTTCAAGCCTTTTCTGAGGGACATGCCTCGAGGGTTTGACCCCTCTTTGTTTTTTCGCCATGGTCCACGCATCGCTTGCCCTTCGCATGCCCCTCTGCAAGCCGCTGCCCGACGCATGCGCGTATTTCCCGCAGCCGACTCTGCAGTCGCCGCGGCAGCACTTGCCTTGCCTCCCACATGGGTAGCACATACTTTCTGAGTCTTTGTGGCATTGCGTGTTTCCTGCAGACCGCAAGCCACGGAGTGGTGGGTGCATTCCGACATGGCGCTGATGCTCACGCAACCTACACTAAGGAAGTTGGCCATCCTCCTGGCTGGAAAGGTGTTAACCTTGCCAACCTTTACTCCTAGTCGTTTGGTAGTTGCATCGGCCTCCAAGGTTGCACTTGGCACGACATTGCTGCCTCCAATTGGTGATGGAAACACTCCCAGTCAGCATCCGGGTTGCTGGATGGCCCCAGCAAAGCCACACACTCGCATTCTTGGCTGATTGCACTGCGCCACTGAGTCACTATTCTTAGGCCAATCAAACCTAGCCCGGACATCCATCCCGCGAGCAGATGCCGTAGTCAATGCACCTAGCTGAGGTCCATCTACGGGATCCTTCCTCTGTGGGCGCGCAAAGATGCAGGTCGATATCAAGCATGAAAACATTTTCATGCGGTTGAAACTTCCAATCTCCAAGCATGATGGCCTCCCTGCTTTGATGCTCCGCAACTCTATCAGGTGGGAACCAGCTCCCTTTTGCCAAAGGCTACAAGAACCCCTGACTTGATGGCATCCCCTGCCTCTGACTGATGGGTGCACACAAATTCAATAGGGACCGGAGGTGAGCATGCCAGGATCATCCCACCCGCTTGGTACGGCCGGCCTTTAGAGTCAACGCGCTGCTGGCCTTGGAATCCAAGTGTGCGCCATCCCAGTTTCTGGAGATAAATTAGTTTGTTATCCCTGCACTGACCGGCGATCTACGTAAAGGCCATCACTTCAAGAAGCGCCGCCCAGGATCCGGCTTGACCAAAGCATCAACGCCTTGGTGGAGAGGCCATCCCATTCTTCTTCATAGGTTGGCCTATGCTTCTCCAGGTATGCCACTGCGCACGCCCTGAGCTGCCTTGCAGAGCGCTTCTTAGAAGGTTCATGCTCCTTCAATCCTTGCACGAGAGCGTGACACAAATAGTCTCCCCCTCCCATGTTGGGCACAAGCCACCCGTAAAGAGGGCGCCTCTTTCCGCCGTGCCTGTATATAACAGCAACCGCCACCCATGGGAGGGAATCCGCCAAGGTGGTGACCATGACCTGAAGGATGCGCTCCTTAGCTGGTCCATCATGTCCCTCCCATGAAGGGTGAACACGAAATCTTGCCTTGACCACCACTCAGGTAGCGGCCCATGGGAGCATAGAGCTCCCGTAAGTACTCGTCCTCCTGTTCCTCCTCATTCTTCAACTGTTCTTCTGCCCCTCTGCTCCCTTTCTCTCTCAGCACTTGCTTCAGCATCCTCGAAACGGTCATGAAGGTGATCCAGCGCAGTCCGGCCCCTCCATCCGCCAATCGCCAAGCTTGCCCAGGTGCGCCGTCAGACCGCAGGGTCGATCCATGCTCTAAGAGGAGCCCGTGGAACCAGGTGTCAAATGGCCGCGGGTTTCAACATCTTCACACTTGCTGGCTTCAGCATGGTTCACCGGTGTGAGACACACGTGGAACCTTTCCTTTCTTGCTCTGTCCTTTGCAGCTGGAGGGCCCAGAAAACGGCTGCCCCATAGCCGCCCTCCAGCTGTCCTCTTCCATCGCTTAGTCAAGGGGTCTTGGTTCAGCTTCTTGCTCGAGTTCCATGACGCATCCATGCATTCCAAACTCAGTGAGACAAGGACCACACTGACCCTGCCTACTGCACCGACCCATGCCTACCGCACCCTGTACACTTACCTGTGCATCTCCGCCTCCGCTTCTGCTTTCGTCTCCGCCTGGATGTCCGTGACCGGCTTCCCTCATAGTGGCTGTTGTAATCCGAAACCGTGCGGCCGCCCTCAAGCTGTTTGCCTGCGAAGATCAACCGCTGCTGGTCAGGCGGGATGCCCTCCTTATCCTGGATCTTGGCCTTTACGTTGTCGATGGTGTCGCTGGCCTCGACATCCAGGGTGATGGTCTTGCCAGTCAGCGTCTTCACAAAGATCTGCACGATGACAACTGAAATCGAATTCACTACACTTATTTGTCCTTGTTGCGTCTCTGAGCATAGAAGCACGGCATGGTTGCTTCTTACAAACCAATGAGACTGGACACTTCTCATGGCCCTTCCGTGTGCATGGTCCACATTCACCTGGGGAACTGCCATGTTACCCTGGCAAGATTACAGCTAAGTCCGACAGGAGAAGCTGCCAAAATCAGCAAGACGGTTCTTTCTCTCAGGTATGTTCAAAGTGGCCAGGTTCTGCTCGAACTAAGGAACCTGTGTCATCGCCTATCTGTTGATCACTCTTCTATTGATTGGGGGTGATTCTTGGGGAAAACCCATACAAAGATGATATGTCCCAGCAAAGGGGAAAAGCTGCCCATGGTCACCTGCAAGCCTTTCAGATGGACGAAATCCATTTCGCACCAACTAAGAGGCCCGGAATGAGGGATGATTCCCCTATACATACACTATACATACCAACGAACAGCGGTTTCAACCATGGTTTCCAAGTGGTGCGAAATGGATTTTGTCCATCCACAGTATGTCCAACCAGCAAAGAAAGGAATTGCCCCCTGCCGTTCAACGTACAAGCCCCGTGCTTTGCAATTCTGTGTCGCCGGGCACCTTCGATTCTTCACTGAAAGCCCATGGTGCAGCAGCTTGCCGCCACCATGTTCGAGTCGGCGTTCCCTGTTGAAACCAAATCACACCCAGTCTTCAAGTGGGTCTGTTTCAAACCCAGTCACACTTAATCACAGACTGTTCCCTGTTTAAACCAGTTACAGTCTTCAAGTGTCCATCCCGCAGAACCCCGCCAGCTTGCCCAGCTCCCCAGACGGCCTGCTACTGCGGAGATCAGCGCGGCCTCCTTCGCGCAGCCACCTCCACGGAGAGATTCGTCGGGTCGGCTTCGGTTGATGCACATTGAGTCCAAGTCCATGACAACCGGGAGCTCTTGTGTGGGTCCTTGTGACTTGAGCGTCAAGACTTGGGACCTGCTTTTGAAATTACATCTGGAAAGTGTCTAGTTTGGACACATGCTTCAGTAGTTCACTCCGGCTGGTGGAGACAGTGATATAGCCCAATCTGTGACTGGATGACCCCACAGAAACAGGGCTCAGCAACATCCGGCCTCGGCAAGTTGATGCTGCCTGGCCGCAACACGTGGGAAGTGTGTCCAACATCCAGGATGTGAAGGGATTGAGCCACACCTTGGGAGGTTTTGGATGGCACCAAGGGAGATTTGGCCGTGGGTCAAAAATATGTACCCAAAATGGAATCCTGGTAAATGGAAACATGGACCAAAACCTGCGGTCCCCTGGTGGTTTAATTTTGACCCCGACCCAGATGTTAAAACTTGGATACCGCTGTAGGGCTGCAGCGGATGATCCAGTCATGGATAGACACTCAACCTCGACGGCGCGACCACCATCGCGTCTTCGGCGCACCGCGCTCCTCCAGTGCAACGCATGCAAACTGCCAAGCTGCCTCGCGCTGAGCTTTATGGGGGATTCGCGACCCTAGACCTGCTGTCAATGACTCAAGAGAGAGTGCGGAAGGAGCAAATTGTCCGGTCTACACGGGGTCTCAACAGGAGGGAACCCTCAGAATGCTTGGCTTCCGGTTCTCCTTTATACCCAAGAAGGGGCTCCAAAAGAGACACACCTACACGGGGATGGGCATAAAACACTGTCAACGTGTGACAACTGAAAAACCGCATTTCTATTATCTGGCTCCGGTACATAAACCACACTGTGTGCCATATTCAATCAACAGGGATCCTTAACAGGATCCTTCCATTATACACCTGAACATTGCCTTGAAGATGCGCGGTCCCCTTTGTTTTGGTGTTGAAAAAGCAACATGTTTCAAATGGTTGCAAAATGGCATTGGGTCAAAACCAATGGTACCAATTTCGGGTAGTTGCACCACCCATTTTAGAGGGGATTGGGATGTTCACTGGGGGCTAACCGGGCTTTTGACCCATAGCCAAATGATTTTCTCTTTTTCGGAGCCCTGAACCGGACGCAAATCCTCGTCCAGTTCCCGCGCCTCCCGCAGTCCGTGCCCACCGCGGGGGGGGGCGTCGCTTTCACCGGACTTGAGCCCGCAGCAAGTGGTCAAATGGGTATGGTCAAAATTAAGCCACCAGGAATCGGATCGCAGATTTTAGTCGTTGTTTCCATTTACCAGTGGACCAGGGCAAGCCATTTTCTGTACCTATTTTTGACCCACACCCAAATCTCATGCTATTTGATGGAAAGCAAACATGTGGAACATGGGTGTTGGGGGGGTACATCAAAATTGAGAGATCTCACACGATGTCCACAACAAGCTTATGCAAATGTCTGAAAAAAGCCAATGCTGTCGCCTCGGATGTCCATCGATTTTTTGTTTCTCACTGGAAAAACTGCGTTCCGGAACTCAATTGAATCTAGCTTCTGGATGCACCCCGAATCCCGAGCGGCCTACAACCACCTCCTCCGCAAACCTTCTGCGCCGGAATCCATTTGATTTGATGATTTATCCGACGTCATTAGCTGTCTCTTTGGAAGCGAGCCGATAAAGTGACCACGTGTCTGGCATCCTCCAGATTTCCGCTCACACGTGGTTTCACTGGGGAGTTTGAACCCCCTTGTCCCGCAGCGAACTGCTTTGTTTCAGGGCAAGGGCCAAATATCGAATCACAGACATGCGGTGTATGTTCATGTGCGCGCCCAATGTGGACAACCTTTCCAGCTGGTGTTTTCCAGCGGCGCAGACAAGCACAAGCCAATGGCTCTATGAGCTTCCCAAAGGGACAGCCATAATACAAGCCTTCCCTGGCGTTCACAGCCCAGGGCGGGCCCAATTTCAGCGTGCCAGGCCAGCGTCGACTGGACACATAGAAAGTCAGGCCATCAAATCTTCTTTGAGTCAATTCCAATGGCCAGAAGCGCTTTGGCCAATCAAGCCGGCCACGGATCGCATCCTAACCATAGGTGTCCTTGTTAGGTTAGTTTGGTTAAAAATAGATGGGTTCCACTGGTTTAGATGGGGTTCATGCCCCATTTACCGGGGAAACCCATCCATTTTTAACCAAAAGGCCACCTATGATCCTAACCTCAGTTGTTCAGTGACCCTGGAAAAAAAGGGAACCCTTTTCCCTTTTCGGGGAAGACCATTTTTAGTGGGGCAGCCACCAAAAAAAAGGAAAAAGGGTGCCACTGAACAACTGCAACTGAATAACTACCTACTAAAGAATTCCGGCCATCCCAAGAAAGGCGGCGGCGAAGGCTAATGCCTCGTGTTGCGCCCTTCTCGCAACTGTTGGCACGGCGACAGTCAACCTATCGTGCTACGTTGCTGAAAATCGCCCATTGCCACTTGGTTGCTACTGACCCCCTTGCAAAAAGTCAATCACTTTTTGGGGGGTTTAGTGGAAAACCCCTTGATTTGCCAAAAAGTTAACTTCTAAAGATCCAACGCAATAGCAATCAAGGCCAAGTATGAAAACAAGCCCTCAGAATCTTTCAGGCTTCAGAAGGATTACCATGGCGCTGACCTCAAGAGCGGCGAGACAGCGCGAAGATCCACAATGCTTTGGCACCAGAGCGCCTCGACCTGTGGCATCGATGTCCCCCAGCAGTGCCCTTGTTCAACTTTGAAGAGAACAGTCTGATGCAAAAACATAGTCCTATCTACAAAAACATCCTGCACTGCACTGGTGTGTTTCAAACTCGGCACCTGAAAACGAACGCGGCAAAAAATGCGCAAGCTGCGTGCCCGGCATTGTCACTCCCTGCGCCGCCGGTCTGTGCCTGACAGCAAACCCCCGCAGGCCGTTCCAAATAAAGGACGAAGGAAGTCCGAGCTGAGCTTCAAACCCCTCTCGAGAATATGGATCAAACTTCAGGTTGGCCAGGTTTGCGGGTACTAGCCAACTGTGTCATCGGTTCTCACAAGAGAGATGTCACCCACGTGCTTCGTTGTGAAAGTGTGGACGAAGCGAAGCGTTAGTTGGCTTAGGCCTCTTCAAGAGCTACTTGCTACTCGCAGACTGCTTGGAGTTTGCATCTTGAGTGGCGGAGACAGCCAGATGAACTGCGGGCGGGTATCTCCCAATGCGTACCTCTCAGCTCCGGAAACAAACCCATCAGCGAGACAAGGCGATTCCTCCACACTTCCAACATGAGCAGCGCCCGAAACCCAAACCCATTGACTTTCGGTTCTACTAAAATGGGTATGTAGGGGCTATAAAATCATAAGCCTGATCAACCCCTGGAGTAGAACCTACCGAAATGGCCTCTTCGGGGCGCGCTGCTCTGCGCTTTGGGCATGATATGGCCAGTCCAGCACCTCCCCCCTCCCCGCCAAGTCAGGGCTGCAGCTGGCATCCACCAAGTCCTCCACCACTTCTTGCAGAGGCCTAACCCAGGCGCAACGGCCCAAACGAGGCTTTGGAAACGAGTCGTGATATGGCTGTGGGTCAAAAATAGGCACCCAAAATGGCACCCTGGTAAATGGAAACCAGGACTAAAACCTGCGGTCCAATTCCTGGTGGCTTAAAATTTTGACCCACATTCAAGTGGGATGGGGTGCCCAGCCCCATCACTGGATCACTTTCGAGGGAGGGCCAAAATACCCTCACAACCATGACCCGTTTGCCTGGTTTTGAACTAAAGGCCAGCAGTCTGGTGAGAACCACTTCCAAACACCCGGCCAGGTGGCGAGTATCCAACGACTGCAAATGGCAAACCGAAGGGGCTAGAAATATCCCGCATTGCTAAACTTGTGCGAACCTTGCGGGTCGGCAAGCTAGTTTTTAGGCAATCTATCAAAATGTTCTGCCCACCCCTGGTCCTTTTTGTTGGGTTCTATTCACATGCGAGGAAAATGTCTGCCTAGCCCTGGTCCGTTTTTCGTTTTTTGCATCCCCTCTTCCACTTGCTGAAGCCCCCTGGAAAAAATACAAAAAGTATGTCCAATTGTCATAGATTCCCGGAAATATGTGTGTGTGTGTATATATATATATATATCTATGTATTCTTAAGCAAATGGAAGCCCCCTCCCCCCCCCCCCCCCCCCCCCCCCCCCCCCCCCCCACCCCCTTCCCACCCCTCCAAGCCCCCGCAGCCCCGAAGTTTGCATGCTCTCGGCTCCCCGGCTGCCCGGCTTGCAGGCCCTGGCGCACCGCGTCCACCACGTCCTCGTCTTTGATCGAGCCCCGCAAAACCGCCCCTGGGGGGCGGGGGGCGGGGTGTGGGGGGGCCCGGGGGGCGGGGTGTGGGGGGGGCGGGGGGGCGGGGGGGCGGGGGGGGGGCGGGGGGGGGGGGGCAGACACGGCAGAAATTTTGTCTCCCCCGGGCTTTTGGCGGGGTACCCGGACTTGGGCTGGGGTTGTAGCAAAGATTCCCCCGGACCATGGCCTGATTGTCCTTTTCCTGAACTGGAAGGGGCCAAAGCGAGGGCAAAGTCGCATAGAACCTGCCCATGTCCATGGCCCCAAGCTTGAAGCTCCTGGGAGGAATGCAGCTCGAAGACACCATCGCAGCCCAGGAAGAGGAACTCATCCTCGGGCGTGACCTGCCACAATCAACCCCTCCAAATGAGCACTGAAGTGAGTCACTTGCTCAAAACCCGGTACAAAAATGGTGAATCCAAAACCATGTAAAGAACTAAGAAGGCGGCCGCAGCTATTTCTGGTTGGGATTGCCCCTTACTAACCTTCACTTACCCGGTGTTGGGAAACGGAACTTCCACTTGGTTGCCCTGCGTGACCGGCGATGGCCCCAAAGCCGCACTTCAGAGAAAATGCCAAGGCTTTCCAACATGGAAGTCATCCGAGATATACCTGTGCTGACAAGTTTCACAACTAGCGAAGAAAACAGTGACAACAGCACTGCGCGTGATGTGGGAGCCTCACTCCCCTTGACGTGGGAGCCTCAACGGTCGGAAATCCAGCTCACGTCCTGCGTGAGTCCAAAGAAGTCTAAACTTGTTGTTCACCACTAAAATGGACCAAACCCAAAAAGTGACCAAAGTTCATGAACTCAGGGAGTCACGCCGGCAGCTGGCGGCCGAACATTTCCAGCGCTGACCGCCCGCATGCGCCTCCAGCACCTGCACGTCTGGCTCAATGGACACCTTCTGCTCGCTGGGCGCAAGATCCTCGGAACACCGAGCAAAACACCTCCAGGCAGGCGGTTTCCCTCTGGCTTCCTTTTCATCGGACACATTTGAGTGGCTCGCACAGCAGCGGCGGAGCCGTGTCCTGTCTCATTTGGTCTCCTTGTCAAACCATCCAAAAAGGGGTCCCCTATTTTGAGAAACAACCATTTTTGTTTCAACCAGACAGGGACAACAAGAATCAGCATCCCTCAAAAAATCAAGTAGGTGGTTTCCTTTTGGTTTCCTCTTCAAACCATCCAAACAGGGGTCCCCTACAAGCATTTGTTTTAACCACACAGGTTTCCGCTTGGTTTCCTTTTCGACCCATCGAAAGAAGGGCCGTCCCCCTATTTCTAGGGGTACCTTCCATGTCCATTCCGAACCCAGGGACCCGAATCTTTCCAGAAAACCTCCCCTGGGGAAACCCCGGGGAAACCGGATCCGGCGTTTGGCAAGGAATCCCAGGCCTGAAAAGAATGGACAAGGACTCAAGCCCCAGAAGAAGAGCTTGTTCATCCCCCAGGAACGGAGGAACCAAAATTACAGCCTGGTCTATGTTGGGATCAAGCCCTAGGCGATTTTGAGAAACAACCATTACTTTCAACCAGACAAAAAACCGCCAGGAATCCAATTTAGCTTCCCTCCAAGAGGGTTTGGAGCCGACTCGGTGGCTTGGTGACTTGGCGGGTGTCCCATTGGCCCTCTGGAAGGGCCCACGGATCCAAACCATGGAAGAATTGGCCCCGGAGGCCACTCAACGGAGGCGCGGATCAACTGGAAGTGCTGCAAAAGCCTTGGGTCGTGTCACCCTGTCACCCTGGTCACCCACTGGTCACATAGCCACACTGTTTCCAGAACCGGAACCCGGTAAACCGATGCAAAGTGTAAAGGAAAACAATCATGCCCCCAGGTCGTTGTCCCAAGTCGTTGTCGCAAAGCAAGATGCCGGAGTCAGAAAATTGCCGGGCCCAAGCCGATACCCAAACCAACTGCGATGGTGCATTCAGTCATTACGCAACTGGCCATGGGTCAAAAT